TTAAATTTAAGTTAAAATATTATTCAAATTGATGAACAAGTTTAGACCAGTGTTTTAAGAACCGGATCGGATCGATCGATTCAACCGGTTGAACCGTCAACCGGTGGACAAAACGGGCTGGGTGGACACCCAGGCCCGTTTAGACGGTTGGATCGTCCAAACCCGGAAGAACCGTTCGACCCGTCCAACCCGATAGACCCAGTGAACCGACCGGGCGAATTCTTCTACGGTGACTGGACGCTGCAAGCCTACTGCAACTTCGTTTTCATTTTTTTTTCACGATTTCCCACTTTTTCCAACACAAAAGCAAAATCTGATAGTTTTTTCTCCATTCTCTAGTCTCCATCGGTTCTCCACTCTCAAATCCAGTCTCCATTGCTTTTCCAGATCTGATCGTTGTTCTCCATTACTGTTCTGGATTCTTTAGTTTCCAACTTTCCATCACTTTTCCAGCCATATTGACAAAGAAGAAACCACAGGGTAGCACCGTAGCAAATCGGGCAACAGATTGCTTCTCCTTCGCATCTCTAGATCCAACAGCAGATCAGCTTCTCCTTCGCATCTCCAGATCCAACAGCAGATCAGCTTCTCCATCCCATCTCCAGATCGGGAAGCAGAGGGCAGCAGATCAAATCAGCCTTCATCGAAAGACTTGTCTAAAACCACCCATTAAATTAGAGGTTGATAAAAAGGAGCCATGAAAGATCATAATTGGGTTTTTGGTTTTTTTTTTTTTTAAATCGCTTGATGATGGTTTGTGTTCTGATGAAGTGATGATCAATTGCAATGGAATTAATTGTACAGGGCACTCGCCTCGTGCACTCTCCAACCAACACTTTCACTTTTATTGGGCCACGTTATATTGGTTGAAGAGGTATCATAGATATATTTACATCATAGATATATTTATAAAAACAGTATATAGACATATATATAATTAATTATCATAAAAACTGATTTGTTATGAAAAACAGAGTATGACATTTTTATAATAGTTAATTATATATATATGTCTATGCACTGCAATGTACTATTATAAATATATCACACTTTTATATGAATTAGTTGTATGATACTTTATTTATTTATTTAATTTTAAAACTTGATTCTCATATGTATTTTGTTTTGAAATTTATTTTTAATTTATTATGTAAATTTATATATTTATTAAATTTAATTTAAACTGAAAATAATTTTATAATGCTAGAAATTACAAGGAAAAAAATTGCAAAACACAGTAGCCAAATAATGTGAGAAACTACAGAACTTAAAACTGCAATTTTAGGCACTCTTCAATTGACCCGGGCGGGTGGCCGGTTGAACTGGTCAGACTGCCAAAACCGTGAATTGGTCACCAAACCGGTTCAACCACCGGTTCGGGTTTCAAAACCATGGTTTAGACTCATTCAAATACTTAGTAAATTTAAATACAAAACTCAATTATTTTAAGCTCAATAAATATTCAAACTTGTTCGACTTAACTATTCTACTTTCAAGAGAGCACAACCATTTGATTTGCTGTGAAACATCCTCCTAATTTACAAATCTAAAATTATCTCGCCGCAATTAGTAATTTTGAATGGCTTCCGAGAGTGCTCTCTCCTCTGACCCCCTTCCCTTAGTGGAAGAAGATGATTCTCTGGCGAGAAGCCCTAAGAGAATTAAGGACGATCTTTGTCCACCCTCCTTTTCGAATGTTGATCCCCCTAACTCGATGGTTGCCCCTTCTGTGCAGAAAACCTTTAAGGATATGTTGATTGATGGAAACGCTGAGTTTTCTCCATCTACTATTACGCTTGAAGAACTTATGGCTGCAGGTAGCAAGGTTCTGTCGTGAACACCGATGATGGCCAATGATGCCTTGGGTACTCCTAAAAAACCCATCCCTAAGGCTTATATTGCTTAAGAGATCTGGAAAAGGCTTTGTGTACCATGGAAGAATTCCTTAATCATTAAACTACTAGGGAAACGAATCAATTATCATCTTCTGTCTTCAAGACTCTCACGGGAATGGCAGACAGAAGGCGAGTTTACAGTAATTGATATTGGCCAAGGCTATTCTATTGCTAAGTTCTCCTCTTCAAATGATTGCTCTAGGGCCCTCACTGGAGGTCCTTATAAATTTTTTGATCATTATCTAGCTATTTAGCCCTGGGAACCTAATTTTCAACCTTCCCGTGTGAAGTTGCCTAAAATGGCAATGTGGGTTCATCTTTATGATGTATCTGTGGAATGCTTCCATGAAGCTGCGGTTCTCTATCTTGGTAACAAACTTGGCAAAGCCATTAAGTTTGATAGAACAACCCTTCTTGCTACTAGAGGTGAATTTGCACGTGTGCGTGTGGAGGTTGATTTGAATGAATCTTTGCCATCAATGATTGATTTGGATTTGGAGGGTCTTCCCCAGTCGTTAATTCCTGTCAAATATGAAGGGCTTCATAAAATATGTTTTGAGTGTGAAGAGTTCGGGCACAAGAAAGAAGCTTGCCATTACAGGCAACCACAACCACAACCACAACCGCAACCAGCGATAGCATCAGCATCTTCCCAGCAGAGTGGGAAGAGTTCTTCTATAGCAATATCTTTGGCGAAATCCTCGACTGAGCATGAGGATATCCCAGTTTTGGTTGATAATTGTATGACGTACGAATCTTGGATGGTGGCAAAGCGTAAACCACAGAAGGTAGCTAAGAAGCAAAATTCACATGGGGATAACATTTCTATCCCCTCTAAGGGGCAGGGTATCGAAAAAGGAGGTAGCATAGCCAAATATAGTGGGCCACCTAGGCCAGTTAATCAAGAGCAAAATATTAACACCAATAATGGATTTGGAGTTATTGCATTGGAAGAGGAAACTCTGGTGGAGATGCCTCATTTGGGGGCTCCGGATTCTGGAAGTTTTCCTACTCAGCATACAGGTGCGTTGGAACAATCTAATATGGAGACAGCTCCCAGCTCGTTAGAAGAAGCCTATCCTGTTGTAGTTAAGCCTAGTGTTAACAGACATAAGAATTCCAAATCCCACAAGAAGTCAACCCGAAAGAATGATAAGACTAAAACAATGTTGGGCTCGATTGCAAAGCCTTCTAAGTCGTCTGGGTCTAAGACTTTGGATACGGGGGTGCTAAAGAAATCTATTAATGAAACTCCTAATCAGCTCGCACGTGTGGCCTCAGTTTTAGTTAGTCTCCATCCCAAGTCTTTCCACCATCTTTCGTTGTTTCCCAAATGGAGAATGCTACTAACTCTACGAATCTGCCTGGGTCGGATTCAACCCCTTGTTTTCTGGTGAATCCTCTGAACATAGCCTAGATAATATTGCAGGGTTAAATTTAGGTGTTGTGCATAATTTAGTGGGTGAGCCAAGCCAAGTTGCTCATTCTAATGATGATACTGATTCTACAAGGGGTCTAGCATCTAATTCTGCTTCTTTCAATTTCTTTTCCTCATGAAGATATTATCTTGGAACAGTAGGGGGGTAAACAATAGTCCTTTTAGAAGGGATGTGAAGGAATTACTTCGCACATATAGACCAGATATTATCTGTTTCTTAGAGACTAAAGCAGACTTTGGTTCAAATGCTTTAAGTTTCATTCGTCGTTTTGGTTATGAGTTTCAGTTCCAAGTGCCTGCTTCAGGCTTTGTAGGGGGCTTATGGTTGGGTTGGAAAACTTTAGTGCAACTTTCTGTGATTTTTTCTACAAGTCAGGCTATTATTGCTCTGTATGTTTTCGTCATGATAACATCTTTTTAACATTTGGTTATGTTCGGCCTACTGAAGCATACAAGACAGATTTTT